CATGGTGGCATTACACCGGAGGCGTGGAGCAGAAGTGCGGTGGTCTTGTTCTTTAAGAAAGGTGACAATGCTCTCTTGAAGAACTACAGACCGATTTCCGTTCTGAGCCGCGTCTACGTGCTGTTTTCGAGAGTCATTACGAATCGTCTCGCACGCAGACTTGACGACTTCCAGACTCCCGAACAAGCCAGTTTCCGAAAGGGCTTTAGCACCATAGACCACATACATACCCTTTGGCAAGTTGTACAGAAGTCTGAGGAGTACATTTTGCCACTATGCCTGGCGTATGTGGACTATGAAAAAGCCTTTGATTCCGTCGAATTTGGGCGGTACTGTAGTCCCTTCAGCGGTGCCAAGTTGACTGTCGGTATATCGAAGTGCTGAAGTGCTTGTACAGTAGGGCTACGATGGCTAACCGAGTACAGAACCAAAGTGCGAAACCTATCCAATTGCAGAGAGGTGTAAGACAGGGTGACGTTATATCCCCGATACTCTTCACCGCTGCATTGGATGACGTTTTCAACCTTCTGGACTGGAAAGGACGGTATTAACATCAATGGCGAGTACATCACTCACCTTCGATTTGCCGACGATATAGTCCTAATGGCAGAATCGCTGGAGGACCTAAGCACTATGCTCAATTAGTGTCTTGAGGTCAAATAGTGTCTCCCAACGGCCTATCCTCTATATCTTAAGATGAACATGGACAAAACAAAAATCATGTTTAATGTCCATGTCACACCTATGCCGGTAGTTGTTGGGAGCACTAATCTCGAAGTTGTACGCGTATGTTTACCTGGGACAAATAGTCCGACTAGGTCAGTCCAACTTCGACCGAGAGATCAATCGACGGATTCAACTCGGCTGGACAGCGTTCGGGAAGCTAAGACACATCTTCTCGTCAGACATACCTCAAAACCTTAAAACGAATTTGTACAACCAGTGCGTGTTGCCAGTGATGACTTACGGATCTGAGACGTGGTCCTTCACTGCTGGCCGTACGAGGAAGCTCAAGGTCGCTCAGCGAGCTATGGAGAGGGCTATGCTCGGAGTTTCTCTGCGTGATAAACTTAGGAATGAGGATATCCACAGTAGAACCAGAGTAACCGACATAGCCCAACGGATTAGTAAGCTGATGTGGCAGTGGGCCGGCCATATAGCTCGAAGAACCGCCAACCGATGGGGAAGAAAGGTTCTTGAGTGGCAGCCTCGTACTGGTAGGCGAAGTGTAGGGTGACCCCCCACGAGATGGAGTGAAAACCTGGTAAGACATGCAGGAAGTCGATGGATGCAGGTGGCTCAGGACCGTGCTTTGTAGCATTCCTTGGGGGAGGCCTATGTTCAGCAGTGGACTTATGAAAGGCTGTAATGATGATGATGACTACATGACCAAATATGTTCTTAGTTTGAAGTTTGTGATCTTGCATTAGACTTGGAATTCCAAGTATAAATTAATTTAATATTAAAGCAGTGACTTAATTTAATAAAAAGTCGATTGTACAAGATACTGCGATACCAAACGGTGACAAAACAAATTGTCACCGTTTGGTATCGCAGTATCTTCTTCATCAACGGCATCAGACCGTAAGAGTGCTCTACTCAACATAGGTCTGATCCAATATAGAGAGGATTTATCGTCACGCTTAGCAATTTCTGATGTCAGCACTTTAACACTGCTTCCCGTCGCCTGTTTGTATGTTTTATTATGCGCCTGGCGTAAACGAAATGGCGATAGCGCCATCTATCGGATATTCACTTTCTCTTTGTTCACTTTGAATAACCCATACGTGGTAGCATCTATGCGACACGGATAGCACCTTTACAGCCTATTAAAGTCCTCTGCTGAACATAGGCTTACACCATAGATTGTCTCATAGGGGTGATATTTGCCATAGGTGCCACGTTTAGCAAGCTGATCGGCAACCGTAGTTTTTAATTTTTAGTCGTTATTAGGAAGACGCTGATGCCCATCTCCTGATTGGTTTCCTTCTGTCGCCTCTTACAATACGCACGGGATGATATGGGCTAGTGGATATTCCTAATTTCTTATACCGCCTCTACACAGACAGCACACTATAAACAATCAGCGTAGGGTATGCATGAATGGAAATACAGTGCGTTTTTAATTTGATCTCTTCCGTTCTGATAATTTCGCCTTCAAAAACGATCATCGTGGACAACCGGAGACAAGTCGATGATGTAGAAGTGCAAGCTATAATGGAATCAGATTCAACTTAAACCAACTCAGAGACAAATATAATATAAAACATATCATGTCTCAAACATAAAGAAATATTAAAGTCAAAAGTAGAAGATTCTCCAACTCTGTTGATTCTCTAAAACCAAACCTGATGCCCATAATTTTACAATTTAGACCATGCAAAAAAACAACGTAATTTTAAAATATTATTTATTCGATTTTTATTTATTCCATAGCTTATGTTATAAAATATTTACACGGAGAGGAAGCGGCCGCGGAGGCGGGCCGCAGCGGGTCCGCCTTCGAAGTAGCTTCACGCTAGATTTCTAAAAATTATAAAATAATAATATGCATAATATATTCTCTACTGACGGCTCGCATAGCCGCCTTGTTTAAACTTTAGTCTCGCGACATATAACTCAATTCGGCTTAAACGTTAGAGAGGTTTCAGATCTATTACCGGGAGGCGGCGACGTCGGCTGCGTCCGCTTTGCGCTGGCTTGCGAGTTTACAACGACGCGATCACTACGAGCAAACTTAGGCAAGTGATATTATGGTAACAACATTTCATTAGTAAGGGACAAAGGGAACGGATGTACAGTTTTCAAACATTCATTATAATAAATAAGGTCATAGAAATGTTCATCATACATGGTGTTATTTAAAATGAATGGCATAAATTCAATATTTTTAGGGCAAAGTAAATTAGACTCAGGGGATTTTTCATGTTATTTGAGTAGATGACGAATATTGTTGTATAACATTTATAAACATCTGAAAATGATTGAGTTGAATTTGTATTGTATTCATAACAAAAATGCAAATTATCTTTTGAGGAATAATCATAAACACAGTGGTTATAGATTCGTTCTATAATCTGGTCGTGTATATTAAAATATAATTAGGATGGTGCATGAAATAATAGTACCTGCGGACTTTTAATGTTTCTTTATCACTCACCCATATCCCTATATCCATATTACAACATGTTTCGTTACCATTCTGTTTGTTATACAAGATATAATATAAAACTTATGAAAACTTAATATAATACAACTTTAAGCAGTCGTGAGACTTTTAGCCGGTATTTCATTTTACAAGTGGTATATTGATGCATATTTGCTATGTAAACGGGAACGGGTCGTAAACGTAAACGAAACGTTTTTTGAATATGGAAACAAATTGGCACCCTTTCTCGATAAAATGTATGAAACAAACGCGTCGTACAACACGTGCGGTCAGGCGAGCGCACACGCGCCGCCGCGCCCCGCCCCGCGCCACCGCTCCCGCACTGCGCTCGCTCTACGAGCAAGTGTACAATATCCCTTATACTTATATGTATATATCGGGAGATATACTATGTATCAGATACTGCTGCAGTACAGCGTCACTTCACAAAACATCTAACAATGAACTCGAAAAAATAATATTATCGTAAAATATCTCTGATATGATGAACTGAATGCGAGAGATAGAGATATTTGCGTTAAATATATAAAATAATTTTTGTTTGACTCTTCGTTGTAAGATATACTCGATTCAGAGTATTTTTTATAGGATAGGTCGACAAACGAGCACACAGTACACCTGATGGTAAGTGGTTGCTGAAACCCATAGACATCTACTTACATCTATCTTTGATAAAGAATCAAAATCCATATTCGATGTCACCCGTGAGGACTAAGAGGGAATGCCTCGTTTCCAGTAAAAAGGGTTTTCAGTTCTCTACACTCACCATACGAACACAGCAGTGTTAAGCTGCTATTTAACGCTAGTATTCTGTGAGAGCGTGATCCTTCTCCGGTCGAGCCGACCCATTCGTGCTACAACTATACTACTAATATAGCTGCAACATGGCTCTACCACGTGTACCACGTATAAAACCAAACTCTACCACGTATCATAGATATTAACCATTACTTAGATATTACAATATATCTTTAAATCAAAAGAAACCAAATCTGTCAAAAATAGCGCATCTATCATCGTGTAGTACTAGGTACTGACTTCTTTACATAATTATAGATATCAGTCGATACATTGATATTGAAATATGTAGATTCAATACCAGATATTTAAATCCAATACATAGATACGATTCGATATCGACTTGTTTCTTAGCGAACTAACGCGATCTTATAGGCATTGGAGGTAGCTTGACGTTTTAACTCACTCTGTGGTGTTTAGAGTGTGTTTGAATATGTCAGGAAAATGTCTACTATTTTTCATTAGTAGATTAACAAACAAATATATATAAAAACAAAACTATAAAATTACACCCTACGCCTTTGTATTACAATTTATTTTAAACGTTCTATTTCATTTATTTGGTTTGAGCATGAAATAACTGCAGCGTACAGCGCAGCGGTGAGGTGACGCGGTTACGCTACTCGTATATCTAGGAACCATTTCTATTAATAAATTCGAGGAATGTATTCGAAGTCATGGAGTTAACGACTACTTATTTATTATTAGGTAAATAATATCAGTAACATTTTATTATTAATAAACAGCCTTTTCGCCATTATTATTATTATTATTTCGATAACTTAAAAAAGTGTGCATCACTTTGGCTCGATACGATATAGGAATGTGAATAGGAATGTGCGGGCTCGGGCGCTCGCTCGGACGAATATTTGGTAACAGCTATGTACTTATTCTACAGCGTTTTTTTTATAAAACTAGACACGGGCGTATGATCATACCCAATTTTTGGTCCGAGTATAAAAAGTACATAAATTACATAAACATATTTGCTATAGATTTAAATATAATATATGAGAAGCGGAGGAGTGAGGGCTCAGCTGGCGAGCGACACGGCGGCGCCGCGCTCGGCCGCGTCGGCGCGCCGGTACTCGTCGTCGTACAGCGCGCCGTGCGCGTGTGCGTGTGCGGCGTGCGCGTGTGCGTGCGCGTGCGCGTGCGCGTGCGCCGGCGGCGGCTCCTCCAGCTTGAGCGCGTGCTGCACGTAGTAGCCCAGCGCCAGCGCCGCTCGGTTCTCAACGCCGCCCGCGTTGCTTACACCAGAGTTGTTCTCCACTGCAACAACACACGTATTTCTTTATATCGTAGTAATGCTCTCACTGATTTTTCACCGCGCCATGGGTTGACAGGCAGAAAATGCTAACTGACATTAAAACAGTGGTTAGAACAATAAAGTTTTTAAACAAATAACATGATATAATGCTACGTACTAAAAATTGAGGCGTGAAAATGACAGTTTTTTAAAAAATTTAGGTTATTAATTAAAATAAACAACTATTCCATAATATCATGTATGTGTGCAGGTAAAGGAAAAAGTTATTCCTTAACCTTTGGTACGTGCGCGTGTGTGCAAAGTAATCTCTATTTTCAGAACTTGTGATGACAAACCGTTTGTAAATAATACTTTCCATACATCCATTACAACATATAAAAGTCCTCTGCAGAACGTAGGCCTCCCCATATATTGTCTCATAGGTGGGATTTTGCCATAGTTGCTACGCTCATAGGTTGGCTTTCGCAGATTTTTATACTTTTAAATTGTTACGAGGGCGACACTGAAAGTTTTTAGAACTGGCCACTTGTAAACTATAATAAAAAAATAAGTTCAAATTTTGAAAATGGAACCCCTTGCCAGTATTATTGTGTATGTATTTTATTAATTTGTCATTTGTGTACGATTTGGCTGCAAATTGAAAATTGTCTGTGTCACGTCAGCATGAATTCAACGCGAGAAAATTTTGGTACAATGATTTTTTATGACTTTCGATGTCATTTAAGTCAACAAGAAAGTTATGATAGACTTTGATTGGCCTTTCACGATGAAGCCCCACCTCGTGCCACTGTTTACAACTGGTTTAATGAGTTTAAACGTGGTCACACTATTCTCACCGATAATCTGCGTGAGGGACGGCCTTCTACGGCAACAACAGAAGATAACATCAATGTTGTGCAGCGTATGATAAAGACTGACAAAAGAGTAACTTATCAGCAGATTCGCACAAGCTTAGGCATCAGTATTAGTCAAGTGCGCAAAATATTCCATGAACATTTAGTGGTCAAGAAGCTTTGTGCCCGGTGGATACCTCATAATTTGACAGAGACTTAAAAACTCAGCATGTTGATTGGTTTCGTGAAATGGTTCAAAGATTTAACGGAGATGATTCAAATGCTGTGTTCGACATACTTACGGGTGACAAAAGCTGGATTTATTGTTATGGTTCTGAAACTAAGAGACAATCTGCTGTCTGGGTGATTCCTTCCGAGGAGCTGCCAACTAAAGTGAAGAGACGTCGAAGCGTGGGAAAAAAGATGGTGGCCTCGTTTTTCAGGTCATTACGCAACAATTGTTTTAGAGGACCGAAAAACAGTTACTGCAGAGCGGTACACTAACAATTGTTTGCCACTTGTCTAGGAAACAGTTCGGGAGAAACGAACTCGCAGTACGATCCTCCTTCACCACGACAACGCCTCTGCGCACACCGCCAAGCAAACATTCGACTCCATGGCGACGTCAGACGTAGAATTACTGGGTCACCCGCCCTTTAGCTCTGACATTGAATATTTTATTTATTTCCGAAAATAAAAGAAAAACTTCGAGGAAAACATTTTATGGACGCCGAGGAAGCAGTGGCTGCATTTCAAAATGCCGACGAAGAGACTCCTAAGGACGAGTGGGCAAAGTGCTTTTCTCAGTGGTTCCATCGGATGCAGCGATGTGTTGATGTAAATGGACACTATTTTGAAAAGATTTTCCAATTGTATTTCAGAAGTTTTCTTGCGTTGTTTAAAAATAATAAGATGACTTTGATTGTCAAAATGCTGCCCCCTATAATCTGCCGTCCGAGAATATGGCCCACCTTGCTATGCAACTATGCAGCAAAAAATTACCTCCCACGCTGCCCCAATGAGTGTTGATAAACTCCACATATCCTCGATATACGAGTATGTTTTAATATCTCGGAATGAATTATCTAAATTTGCAATTAACAATTTCATTAGTGCTGGTGGAGTTTGATCTCGTCGGTGGAACTGTTGTTGGTAGGGTCATGAGAAATTTTAACCACCTACCACGAAAAACCAAAATGCACATGTAAGTGCGTCTTCTAGCCTGGAAAAGTTTGGTCTGCCTAGTCAGTTGATCTCTACTTTTTTTTACTATTCTAAGCCATTGCTTGACTACAATTCAACAAAGTACGTGGTGACACAGCCGAAGACGCTAAAGCGCACTGACTTAACAAAACCAATTTACTCTTGCATTGAAGATACGTTATAATCGGATACTACTCACAGTATCCGATTACAATGTAATCGCTTCAATGTGTTCACTAATTCGCTGGTGAAAATAGGATCTGATCTTTCCTCGCTCAAAAACCATTCAGCGAGGAAATGTAGCCAGTGCTCTTGACACTGTGGAGTAGGGCTGTGCGATAATTTAAGTTTCAAGTTTTAGAAATTTTAAATACCTACTTAAATAAATGTATCTTTTTATTACATAAAATATAATTATGTATCTATACTTATGTTGTGTTTACTTGTTAAATAATATGAAAGTACTTACACAAGTTCTCGATTTTGACGGTGTTAGCGACAGAATGCGCGGAGTGCGGTGTGTGCGCGCCGTGCGTCGCGTGGGACGCGTGCGTTGCGTGCGTTATATGTGTTGCGTGTGTTGCGTGCGAACTGCTTTTGCTCAGACTTCTTTCTGCCTTCATACTATTCTTTGGTTTTCGCTTTCTTGTCTGAAAATAGATACATATTGATGTTACTCAAGTGTTCACTTGTGTTGCATTAACAAAGTACACATAATTTAAATAAGATAATTTGATTTAGTTACATGTTATAAAACAAACTGTTATTATCAGGTTTAATGAAGTATGTTTGTGTTCAACACTGAATGCAAATATTATGTCTTATTTGTGCTCTCTGGTGTTCAACAATAATTGGGTACAAGCATGAGTCTAAGCGAGCCTCCTTAATCAAGGTTTTTGAACTTTGTATTACAATAAACACACATGTGATGAACTTTTCTATGATATTTCAGCTGTGCTTTTTTAACTATTATAAATCAGTGCTTGACACATTGATAGTAATTGTTAATATGTCCAAAAATGCCTTAGCTAGACAAAAGCCACTATTCACATTGCAAATAAAAATAACGAAAATAACATTCTTGCTGGAATAAGTATAATAATCCACATTGATTGTTTGTTTATTTAATTTTGTTTTGTTCGGAAAACTAACAGAGACACATATAATATAGCCATACATCAAAACGAAGGTGGTAAGTAAACTAATGTTACATTTTTACTGAATGCTAAAACCTAAATTTTTAAAGGTCTGTAACTGAGATCGATATTATTACGTTTAATTTATTCGATTACTCCTATTTATTGGTGATATAAATTGACCATACAAATGACTTATATTAAGTTTTATTTATCATCTATATCCTACATGAAGTTCTATCCATACTTTAATGCCTATAAAAGCCCACTGCTGAACATAGACGTCTCCTATAGATTGCCTCCTTTACTGCCTATACTTACTGCCCACTGCTGAACACAGGCGTCTCCTATAGATTGCCTCCTTTACTGCCTATACTTACTGCCCACTGCTGAACACAGGCGTCTCCTATAGATTGCCTCCTTTACTGCCTATACTTACTGCCCACTGCTGAACACAGGCGTCTCCTATAGATTGCCTCCTTTACTGCCTATACTTACTGCCCACTGCTGAACACAGGCGTCTCCTATAGATTGCCTCATAGGCGGGAAATAGTCATAGTTGCCACGCTTGGTCGGGGGATTGGCAACCACAGGTGTTGAAGCGCCTGTCAAATTATATTAGCAGTTCTCATGCCAATATTAGTCCGTAAGCTGTGTAGGTATGTTTAAAAAATGTTGTACCGGTCGTCGTTGTAAAATTTAGAGATCAAGTAAAGGTCGATTGAGCAAATTACTGCATTTTATTATTAAAAAGAGATCAAATTCCTATTCATGGTCCTAAATCGAAGCCGGATTTGAAAAAACGTAATTGGACAAGATATTATTTAGTGGAATACGCTTGGGAAGTCTTAAATATTCGTTGTGGAAATACCACCGAGGGAGTGAAGATATTTAACCAAAAAATCTGGAGTCTTAGCCCCTTAGATATTGGACTATTATTTAATTTATTTAACCCAGCACTCATTATCAGGTAGTATTTTGTGTAAATCGACTGCTAATTTATCAGGTTAGTACCAAATTACCTATAAAATAATTACGTATAACTTAAAGTATTTAATCGGCTAAAATTCATTTAATATTGTTTTATATAGTTTCTAATAACCGTCAAATCATGATTAAATCAAATTATAAAGCTTAGTTAAATTATATTGACGATATTATAATTTTTTTTCTCGTTATTGGTTTAAACTGTTTTTTTAAAAATAAGTCAAGAGAGTGTATAATTGAAAAAATTGCATAATATTATTTATTACATACTAAGGCATACCTGTGAAGCTGTTTGATGGTCTGAATTGTATTTGTTACCCTTAATTGTTGTTAATTATAAAGTTAAATATCAAGGTAGTACATGTACCATTTTGTTTAATTATTTAAGAGTTTGAAAAATAAGTAAGGGAATTAGTTTTCATTTCTTTACAACTGTAAGCAAAATTGTATAAAACTACTAATGAATTATATTTTATAAAATATAAACTTCTTGTTTGTATAAATTTCAGGCATTTGCACTAGTCTCCCAATACCAGCCAGCATGCCAGAAGATAAGGAGCAAATTAGGAAACGAGCTAGTTACAAGGGACAAATAACAGCTTTTTCAAATTATTTAAATTCACTGAAGGTATCTTCATTGGCTGCTACTGAGGTAAATGAGTTGCAATTACGTATTAGTAGGATTGAGTCAATGTATGAACGATATGATGAGGTACAATTATCCATCGAGTGTAATACTGATAATATAGACGCCCAGATATCAGAACGAACTGATTTTGAATCCCTGTATTTTAAATCGCTTTCTCTTGCAAAAAGGATCTTAGCAGATTGCATTAAGTCAGATGACGTAAGCAGTGACGGTGGCTCTCATTCCGGCAATCATAAATTTGTTAAACTGCCCACTATTCAACTACCTAAATTTAATGGTTCTTATGATAATTGGTTAGAGTTTCATGACACGTTCATGAGCCTCATACATTCAAATGACGAGATAGATGACGTAAATAAGTTTCACTATCTGAGAGCGTCGTTGGAAGGGCCCGCTGCTGTGGTAATACAGTCAATCGAATTCTCGGCAGCTAATTACACCGTCGCATGGACTATATTATGTGATAGATATGATAATAAAAGACTACTAATTCAAAATCACGTGACAGCCTTATTTAATATAGCACCAATTAATAAAGAATTGTCTGTCAACTTAAAACGTCTTATTGACCAAATAAATAAAAATTTACGTGCACTAGAATCTCTCGGTGAGCCAACTAAACAATGGGACACACTTCTCATTCATATTATTACTCAAAAATTAGATGCTAAGACATATCGTGAATGGGAAGAGTCTAAAGGTCGTTTGGAGAAAGATACACCTATTACGTTCGATATATTTTTGATGTTTTTAAAAAATCGAGCCGATTTAATCGAAACACTAGAAATGTCTAATTCTGGTGCTACTAACCGTTTAAATTCTTCTATAAAATATGCTCCAAAAGTTAAGGCAATGATTTCAGTGCGGGATACCGGTAATAAAAACGGTTCGGCCTTTTCCGCCAAACTGTGTCCTAAATGTAAGGGTGACCATAAGTTAAGCAGTTGTCCTCAGTTTCTCGGATTAAGTAACGATGTGCGTCTACAGTTACTGCCAGAGTATAAAGTATGTTTCAATTGTCTTAATTCAGGACATTATGCAAATCACTGCAAAAAGCCAGGATGCAAAATATGCCACCGAAAGCATAACACTCTCGTGCACGTCGCAGATTACCAGTCAAAACCAATTACAGATATTAATACATCTAACACGAGTAGTGGTAATAATAAGCCCGTTATGCAAGGTCATTTCGAACAAACAAACAGTTCGACAGGCTCACAGTTGTCATCCAATTCTAACGCACATCTGTCATTATCCGCAAAGGTAGGCACTGCATCGTGTAGTGAACAAGGCGACGTATTGTTATCGACGGCATTAATTAAAGTTATAGGTAAGAATGGTTGTCCATATATTGCTCGTGCTATTCTTGATAGTGGCAGTAACGCTTGTTTAATAACTGAAGAGTTATATCAAAGGCTAGGTTTGCCCGCTCAAAATGTAAATCAGTCGGTAGTCGGTATTAATAATGCTTCGGCACACATCAAGAAGATTTGTAAGGTATCGATAAAATCATTGAATGATAACTTCTCTAGTAATCTTCATTGTTTTGTCCTACCATCAATAACCCAAAATGTACCTACTAGATATGTTAATTTGTCAAACTTAAAAATTCCATCTAATATTTCTCTGGCAGATCCTAATTTTCACTCACCTGCTCCCGTTGACATGCTTATAGGTGCTGATGTCTTTTGGGACTTAATAGGAACGCAGAGATTAAAATTAGGGGACGGTCAGCCGATTCTTTGTGAAACTAGCTTAGGATGGTTAGTATCAGGTCCGATAGATTATAGATATGTAAAGAAAGGGGTTAACTTTATTAAATGTAATTTTACAAGAATATTTCAAGATGAGGCTAGTAAAGATTTAGATGAAGATATACAAAAACAATTAGTACGCTTCTGGCACCTCGAAGAGGTAAGCCCTGCGTCTGTTTATTCAAACGAAGAAAAATTATGCGAAGAACACTTTTTAAAAAACACCACGCGACTGGCAAATGGTCGATTTTGCGTGAGGATACCCTTAAAACATAATCCTGACGTATTAGGTGATTCTTGGCCACGAGCTAAAAAGTGTTTACTATCGCTAGAGCGCAGGTTAGCAGGTCAATCTCAGGTCTATGAAATGTATAAAGAATTTATGTCAGAGTATGAAAGTCTGGGTCATATGGAGAAATGTGAGAATGATAATTTACCACGTAAGATGCATTTTATACCACATCACGGTGTGCTTCGGGAAAGTAGTACTACTACTAAATTAAGAGTCGTTTTCAATGCTAGCAGTCCGACTTCTTCGGGTGTTTCCTTGAATAATATACAGATGGTAGGTCCCGTGGTACAGGACGACCTTTTGTCCATTCTTTTACGCTTTCGGCTACACAAATACGTTCTCACAGCTGATGTTGAGAAAATGTACCGGCAAATAGTCATTCATCCCGATGACCGCTATTTGCAACAAATTGTCTGGCGTGATAACCCTTCAGAACAGCTTCAAGCTTATCAACTTAACACCGTGACTTACGGCACCTCTAGTGCTCCCTTTTTGGCAACTAGGTGCCTCCAACAATTAGGCTTAGAGTGTACCGATGACAAGGTTGCTCAAGTGATCATTCACGATTTTTACGTTGATGACTTGCTAACGGGAGGGGATGATATTAACGAGGTTACAGATTTGCGCCGTAAAGTGACTTCCACACTTGCATCAGCTCATATGGTTTTGCGAAAGTGGAAGTCGAATGAATCTCAACTGGTTAGTGAAAATGATATTTCTCCGCTTGATTTGAATATTGGTGGCTTTGAACCGACTAAAACTTTAGGCCTTGATTGGCAATCACATACTGACCAACTTTGTTTCCCTATAGGAGGGCTATTCTCAGGTAGAACAAAGCGTGATATGTTATCTGTGATTTCTCAGATTTTTGATTCACTAGGACTTCTATCTCCCTGTGTAATTAAGATGAAAATGCTTCTTCAACAGTTGTGGCTGCTCAAGCTGTCATGGGATGAGCAGTTGACGCCAGAATTCAGCAAGATGTGGGCTGAGATAATAGTCGATTTACCTAAATTAAATACTCTACGTATTCCACGTCGTGTTATTTGTGACTCGCCTAGTTTGTTTGAATTTCATATTTTCTCGGACGCTTCTGAGCGAGCATATGGCGCCTGTTTATATGTGCGTAGTGTTAATGATCAGGGTGAGGTTTTAATTCAATTATTGATGGCGAAAAGTCGTGTCGCGCCGCTTAAACCTATAACAATCCCAAGACTGGAACTTTGTGGTGCACTTGTTGGAGCTCGCCTTTACCAAAAGGTTGTAGCATCGCTGAGACAACAGGCTAAGCGCACTTTCTTTTGGACAGATTCGTCCATCGTGTTAGGATGGTTAAAGGTGTTACCTAGCAAGCTACAACCCTTTGTCAGAAATAGGGTTGCTGAAATATTAGAGAAGACTGGAAATTGCGAGTGGAGGCATGTCCCAACAGAGTGTAATCCGGCCGATCATATTTCTCGCGGTGTGAGTTGTAAGGATATTTCATCCATGAGTAAGTGGTGGTCAGGACCTGAATTTTTAAAGAAAGAGGTCTCTCACTGGCCTGCAAATTTCTTAAGTATTAATCACGAGTTGCCTGAGATTAAATCGTCAAATGTTATCCTCCACGGAATACTTCATTCTAGCAACAATGAAGATTTAGGTGGGAATAAATTAATTGAATTTAAACGCTTTTCTAAATATACTAGATTAAATCGGACCGTTGCTTATGTGCTGCGTTTTATTAATAATTGTAGAAAGCAATCCGTTCACGGTCCTCTAAGCAATCAAGAGTTGCAAACCGCACTCAATGTTATTATAAGAATATCTCAGAGTGAATCATTTGAGGAATACACCATGTTAATTAAAAATAAAAGTTTACCCACTAAAAGTCCGTTGCATAAATTTAATGTATTTCTCGATGATAATAAAGTAATGCGTGTTGGAGGGCGTCTTGAAAATTCCGATTACTGTTATGAGAAAAAACATCCCATACTTATACAGTCCACTCATTATTTTACCAAATTGCTCTTCAATTATGAGCACATAAGGTTAATGCACGCGGGACCACAGCTAATGTTGGCCACTATAAGAGAGATGTACTGGCCGATTAGAGGTCGTAATTTGGCCAGATCTTGTTATCGACAATGTGTAAGATGTAATAGAATGAAAGGAAAAACCATCTCTCCAATAATGGGCAACCTACCACACCAACGCATCCTTTCTGGTTTTCCATTTCAAAATATTGGACTAGACTATGCGGGACCAATTCAATCTGTTTCTCGCCATGGCCGTGGTTGTAAAATTGTAAAGGTGTATATAGCTATTTTTATTTGCTTCGCGACTAAGTCAATTCATCTTGAATTTGTGGGTGATTTAACTAGCAATACCTTCATATTAGCTTTGCGCAGATTTATGTCTAGAAGAGGGAAACCTCTTAATATTTATTCGGATAATGGTACCTCCTTTGTAGGCGCATACAATGACATTTCAAAATTTATTAGGACGTATTGTAATTCTTTATCTGAGGTAATGGCAAATGAAGGAATTAATTTCCATTTCATACCGCCTTATTCTCCCCATTTTGCTGGGCTTGCGGAGGCTGGTGTCAAATGCATTAAATATCATTTAGGTAGAGTGCTGGGCAATTGTAATGTGACTTACGAGGAACTAAATACCACATTAATACAAATTGAGGCTATACTTAACTCCAGACCACTCACACCTTTGTCAACGAATCCTGAAGACTTGCTACCACTAACGCCCGGTCATTTTTTGATTGGACGCCCCTTGACTTCCTTGCCGACACCAGACTATAAAGATCATTCCGTAAGCTCTTTAACCCGATTTCAACGAATAGAACAATTACGTCAACATTTTTGGGCTAGATGGAGCAAGGAATATATATCAGAGCTTCAACTGCGGATGAAATGGCGTTCCTGTAAAGGCTCTTTGAAGTTAAATTCACTGGTACTCCTAAAAGAGGAGAATTCACCGCCATTAAAGTGGAAGATGGGTCGCATCGTCGCAGTCCATCCAGGCTCGGACGGCGTATCAAGGGTGGCGGATATCAAAACATCGACTGGTATAGTTCGCCGATCATTTAGCAAAATTTGTCCGCTTCCTGAACCTGAAGAATCTGGTTGAAAGGTAGACTTTCAACGCCGGGGGGCATGTTGAAGCGCCTGTCAAATTATATTAGCAGTTCTCATGCCAATATTAGTCCGTAAGCTGTGTAGGTATGTTTAAAAAATGTTGTACCGGTCGTCGTTGTAAAATTTAGAGATCAAGTAAAGGTCGATTGAGCAAATTACTGCATTTTATTATTAAAAAGAGATCAAATTCCTATTCAACAGGTTTTTGTTTTGTTTGAGTTTTATCAGGAAGATGCTGCTACCCATCTCCTGTTTCAGTTTCCTCTGTCACGTCTTACGACACCCACGAGATGCTATGGGTTAGTGGGTATTCTTACACCCCCACAACACGGTTAGATAAAGTTAGCTAATAGTCTAGGTTGCGATGAGCTTTTTGAGAATCTATTGTAAACTTGTTTGATGTCTGTATTGGTTTATATGTATGATTGTAAGGGACGAGGTCTGCTGGAATTGTTTATGTAATAATTTGGCTTATATTGGTGGGACTAAATTTGAGTTGATATAAAGGAGTTTTTAGTGTAATGAGATGCTGACCTGTATAGAGTCCTTCTTCATGGCGAGCGGGCGGTTGATGTTGTGCAGCTTGTAGTAGAGGCCGCAGGCGTTGCAGACGGTCTCGCCGTGCGCGTTGCGGCGCCACAGCGACGTGGCCGTCGTGTGGCAGTTGCTGCACGACATGCCCGGCCGCTTCGTGCCCATCTGCACACCACACGCACGCTCTAGCCAACGCTCTGATCTCTGCTCACTCGGACTCATCGAATTAGTTCCAATTCAGTACCTATCTCTACGGCTAGTAAGTACTTATTACATTCTAACTGATCGAATTATATGTGTTGCTTTCTGTCTGTTAAAGTTAATTTTTTGACGTAATTTAAAAAGAAAACTTGATCAAATGTATTTCATCGATGAATCCGCGTGAGCAGAAAGTTTGTATTTTTGTAAGCCTCCAATCTCTGTTGAAGTATTATGAAACTGTCCGTATACAGTCCGAGTCCATATAATTAGTACTTATCTATGAAATTGCCGTTTTTAGAAAAATGTTCGCCAGTATTGTAGGTACCTACGTGATATACCTACCTCAACAATTAATATATTGTAGGGAGCTTAAGGTGCTTTATTTCTTATAACTTATTTTTTTTAAATTTCTACTATAGTGTGTTTTAATTTCAATTCTTATAAATATAACGATATAGATAATGGTAAAAATTAAAAAAAAAACGCGATAAAAACGGCAATTGCATGCATTTTTACTTTTTATAGAGTTTTTGAAATTAAGACACAGGAGTAATTTTTTTTACTCCTGAGTCCTCTAATCTTCATGCTGTTAGTCACGATGAGGTTCAACCAGAACCGGTTGCGTGCAACAATGACAATTATTATTGGTACGGTTGTTAACACGGGAGAAGCGATGAGGGTTAGCGAGCGCGGGGAGGGGAGGGATCGGTCGGGGGCGGGAGGGCAGGGTTGGGGGCGGGGCCACGTACCCCTTTCTTCTGTTTGTAGTCAGGAGGGGTGGAGGCGGCGAGCGGCGCGGCGGGCGCGGGCGGCAGCGCGAGCGGCGCCACGCCGCTATAGCCCTGGAGGAGGATGCCCTTGTAGAAATCCGCGCCCGGCGGGGCCCCCTCCGCGGCCACTGCAACCAACAAAGTGTCACTACTCGCTCGGGACGTCGGGCGCGGATGTCTCGCGGGCGGGCGGGCGGGGGTGCGGGGTCGCGAGGGGCGGGTTAGTCAGACGTGGGCTGCGTACGTCGGGCGCGGGCGGCGGCACGAGCGCGTGCCGCTGACGTACCAGCCGCCGCGGCTGCTTGAGCGGCCGGTTCATGCCGTTCATCTTGTTGTAGAGGCCGCACGCGTTGCACAGGTAGTGGCCGGTGCCGTCGCGCCGCCACAGCGGCGTGTGGATCGCGCCGCAGTTCACGCACTCGCGGCCCTCCGTGAAAAACTCCGCCATCTCGACTGCACAACACACCGCGGTCAGCTGCACGCCTCGCCCGCGACGCGCCCGCGATGCACCCGCGATGCACCCGCCGCCGCCGAGCGCACCCGCGCGGCCAACCGATACTTCGCATGTCATTACGTCATCCCCTGTCACTTCAACCGCGATCAAAGACCGTTTGTAACTAGGCTTGCAACGAATAGTATATTCGGCCACACGCCGAATACCGAATATTCTGCGGACTTCCTAGACGAATAGCCAATTCTTACGCAAATGTATTCGGCCGGGAAGGAAGTCTTTATTGAGAGCGTCTTTTCTCTGAAGTTGGTATTGTCTACTGGCTGCATAGACATCTATCTGATAGTTTTTTTTGTTAATTTGTATAGTATGAAAGTTAACTATGTACGTATGACTACTTTAATGATAGCAATAAAATTCATTATCATAAAATAAATCAATATCCTTTTTGATAGGAGACAGGGCAAACGAGCATACGGCTCACCTGATTGTAAATATTTTTATTTTACTAATTATTTGAATATAACAAAATATATTACTTAATTATTAGCCCACCTACTCGGCTGAATAGTACCTACCTATACCTACCTAGATTAGGATAAAAGTAGCCGAATTCGCCAAATATCGAATTACAGCCGAATATTCGTTGCAAGTAGTAGGTAGTAGTATCTATTTGTAACTGAATACCTGGACAGTGTCAATGTCGAGTGACGTTGCTTTTGTTTGTTGTATATGTCAGTCACGTGAGAAGCATTGTGAGTGAAGACAACAGTAACAAAGTGACCTTGGCAATGGCCGCCTGTGATTCATTTTAAAAGTGCTGAGGTTGCGTCGCGGCGGCACGTGCGGACGTGCCCGCGCTCCACTGCCGTGAACCGGGAAGTGAGCGTATATGCATAATCTCATGTAACTACCAAAGTATGAAAGACATGATTTAAATTCTAAAGTTGAAGTGTTCTAAAATCAGAAGACATTGCTAATGTTTCAGGTAATTTGACACCTGACCGTTGCAACTCACGACCGTTAGCATCTACTCGTGTGTTTCGAGTTGGTTTCAAGTTAAGCTTTCTCAAGAGATCAAGCGGATGCGACATGCCTACATACACGCAAAACAAATTTATTTTATTTTTTAAATCTCTGCACGAACGCGGGGGATCAACAATGGCATTGATTGAAATTGAATGAGACTAATAGCATCGAGGTCTAAAATGGCGCGGCGAAGTAGGCAGAGCGAACGAACAAAGAGATGAGCGTTACTGTTACTGTCTGGGTGAAGGAGGTGTGGCGCGGACAGCTGATTGGAGCCGCCGCGCCGGTAGCGGCTCTGAACGCGACTTGTTTACCGATTTACGCGGGCCCAGTGGCGTAACTACGTAGTACTATTATTTATTCTGTGGCGTAACGTTAACTAAAAATACAGTATCCTATTCTGGTTTCTTTTTGCATGCGTTATGTCATAAGGGCTGATAATATATTGACTTATTAATTTATTGCATGATAAGATTTGCACGCGTAAGACGTAAATGTGACAGAAACTTAAGCTAAGTACATATACAAAAGTAAGCTTTATAATATATGTACGATACATAGCTTGTACATTTTGCATAGCTCTACTTAATAATGTAATAAAAGCTGGAAGAATGAAGAAGTTTTTTTTTATATAAATAGCTCTGTATATTTTTCTTTTATTTACGCACTTAATATACCTAACTGTTTAGTTATATAATTTGCAGCACCTATGGTAACGTCCCCCAGTCTAATCCTCTATGGTAACGTCCCCCAGTTTAATCCTCCCAACAAAACTAAACCCCTAAAATTAGTTTTATTTATTGAATCTTTAAAGTTGAGAAGAAGAACCATTAGATTTCCCATTATGACACTATCTTCTATCTAACTTGAAATTATTGAATAGAATAAGTAGATCAAATTATAGAGTGAACGGCAATTCTTGACGTCCTATACCAAGTATAGTTTGGAAGTGATGCAACATTGGACTTCGGCTAGTGACACATTTATTGACTCCCGTCTGTCGGAAAATTATGAAAAATTGTACTTAGCTAACGGTAAACATGGTGCAATAGCCGGGGGCGCTTTGTTTGTGCACGTTTATTATATCGTGTATCGACTTTTTATTGTATGAGTCTGCTTTTTCCACAGTAAATTAATTTCTCTTGACCACTTGGTGCAAATGTGATGAAATATTTGTACAGTCATACGCTCTCATTTGGTTCGCATCAACCTAATTATTTATTTGCTGTTAGACCATTTGAAATGAAATCCAATATTGCTGTTGCGGCATCTGCTCAGTACGATCGACCGCTGAGTGGAAATGTTAACGCTATCAGATGCACGTCCAGATGCAAATCAAAATCATTAATGTAACTGTTAACGTCTGCCTGCGACTCCGCGCCTCGTGTTCCATTTGTTGCGGTGTTGTCATCACATGGCGCGAACACAACTAGGTTCAAAACACGATAATACAATACTCTTACACATGGCCATCTATTGTATCACTTTGATGGGTATAACCATTCATTAAAATAAAACATCTCAGTTATGAGATATCCACATGATATCCACTGACAAGAGATAAAATTATCTTGTCCTTATGCCAAATCACGGCAACGGAGAGAGGTAGGTATATATCTCCGTTTATCATAACGAGTAGACATATATCCCCTTGTCCGTTGCATGGTGTCAAATGAAAGATAAAAATTGTGCTTTTTTGACATTTGAAAGGGACAAATTTATCCTAGTTCATTAGACGTGGGCTTACCTAAGTTTATATTCATACAAAAAATCTACCTAAGTCTAAGTCTATTTCCTATTTTATCTACTGTGGATATTATATAGTCCGGTGTGCCCATGCTCGAAGGGTAGATAAAACTAAGTGAGGGGGCATAAATATTTTCTCCTTTCCCCGGGGATGAAATTGTCTTCTGCCCATGCTAGCCCTGTAGGAAGTAGCCAGGGTCACGCTCGGGCTACCTTCGACATTTAAATATTAATTTTGGTCCGAACTACGCAGAATGATCTTACTATACCTATCTTGAAGTCTTGCAGTAGTTTGCTCGGGTTTGGATTTAATTTTATTAATTATAGGATCCAAAGTAGATGGTCACCCGGCCATCTTCTTTATTGAAATTGGGATGCTGTTTTTATTTCAACAGCCTCGTGAATCATCCTTAGTAGGAATCGATGCTTTGTGTTGTGCGAGGATTCCTAAACGAATAGAATCATTTTTATTAAATATAGATGACAAATTACCAGAATACTTATTGAAATTTATTTAAGCTTTACCACTGGTTCGGATAGAAACCTCTGTCCTGGGAAGAACCGGCAAGTAACTCAGCGGGACTGTGGTTTAACAAATCTGATGTTGTTAAACGCGATAAATTCGGTAAAATAAGTTGTATTTAACATGAGTGATGTGTCACATCGGGCATATCCTTTACAGGTAGAGACGGGTGAGGCAGGAGGGGTGGTGGGGAGTGGGGAGTGGTGTGTCAGTGTGACGTGCGCCGGACACGGCACGTGCCTTATCCGACGCCATAAACGGAATGCTGTTTTAATGCGCTTAAAAGGAACGACTTCATTTTGAAATGCGACGTTGGTTTTTTGTCGGGACCTACGCAAACATCGCGTCCGGCCGGCGAAAGTAAAACAATGTCTGTCCACCGAGATAATCCTTATCGATTCGTTTGAGCCGCGATGGCACGAGGCATGATCTAGTCCCTTTCTACTTTCCGTTTAAATCAAATCGAATATCATTTTTACTCATGTAGACTTAAAAAAAAGCTGTTATTAACGTAAACATATCTTAATAATTGTTACTTAGAGTTCACACCATACCGTGTAGTGGTGCTGTAAGAATATCCACTACCCCATACCATGCCGTGGGTGTTGTGAGAGGCGACAGAGCGACTAAAAATAAAATAATTTAAAATTAAAAATTTTGTACAGCCGACTTCAATATAAGTTATTTAAGAATAACTTAAAAACTATTGGTCTGACCTTGATCAAATTCATATGGGACCACACGAGAAGTACCAGCTTTCAAATAAAAAAAGAATCATCGAAATCGGTTCACCCAGAAAAAAGTTCTGAGGTAACACACATAAAAAAAAAAAAAAAAAAAAAAGCATACAGTCGAATTGAGTACCGGCTCCTTTTTGGAAGTCGGCAGAAAATAGAAATTGCGGTTGCCAACGGTTCACATTATTAACGGTTGCATTTAAGTAAGACTTGGATAACGTAGTTGATTGTACAATATTATCCATTCAATTTATAATTTCAGCTTTTATTCTTTGTAATATCTACTCTTTGTACCTACTATTGTTTATTGTCCCAAATAAATTAAATAAACATTTATATTCGTACAGAGAAAAGTAGCTACGACGAAATACGTCTGACGAATTTATGTTCAGTATTCAGTAGTAACTAACTAGCCAACTTACTAGCCAAGCAAGCATCTTTATCAACAAGGTAGTAGAAGAAAGCATATTCTTTATGAGTGATTCTTTTATGTATTTTTTAAAAATATTGAAAGATTAGTTTACTTTCTCCTTGGGAATATTATGACTTTAAGACTCGCTGCTTTTGTTACTCTATTGATATCCGACGAACGAAATTAGTTCGCGGGCTATCTTGTTTCTATGCGCGTTAGGGGTCAGTTGAGAGTGTAGTCAAGTGAGCCGGGTTATATAACGCGTTACGCTGCGTTGTGCTGCGCATCTCCGCATCTCCCCTGGATAAGTTTTGGATAAGGACGAACGTTATCTTACGAGATCTCTGCTTTTGCCGCGAGTTTTTAGAATATTGTATGTTTTTATTACTGAAAAGTTAACAACTGTTATAACTACTTTACAACTGTGTAGTGGCGGTGTAAGAATATCGACCCGTGGCGTGTCGTAAGAGGTGACAGAGGGATATTGAAAAAAGAGACGGGCAGCAGCGTCTTCCCGATAACAACTTAAAATAAAAAATGTGGTTGCCAGCCCGCCTGCCAAGCGTGGCAACTATGGCAAAATCGCCCCTATGAGGCAATCTATTGTGAGGCCTGTGTTCACCAGTGGTTTTTCATAAGCTGTAATGGACTACTGAAGAGTAGAACCATAAGTAAATAAGTAGTGTTGAAGCAATCATCTGTTCACACCTCCAGACGTTTACTGCGAATAAATAGTGTTAGAATAAGTTCCCATTTCACATCGCAGTTCATAATCGTAACCTGTGGCGATCAGCGCCGTGCTTCGACACGCGCCCAGCTTATCGACTCATAGCCAGACAAACAAATCGTCAAACCTTTTTTTGTTACAAATAGCAGAAGAGTGCAGTGACACAGGCCTCTGAGTTATCTATTTTCTAACAAATTTATTGCTTTCTCATTGTAATGTGCCCAAAAAAAGTGGTTACGCGACGGACCTGTCACGCCCGTCGCGTTCATTTGAATACAGCAGACGGTAATTAACAGATAGCGTTTGTTGAAACAGCAGCGTTATGTAAATACAACAACCGACACATTAATTTAACTTTCGCGATTTTAATTGTATATGTAAGCATACATGTTAAGACAAAATAAAAATGTAAAATGTACCACGAGTATTTTTTTATTTTCAGTTTTAATATATTTAGATACTAATTTACTTAATTAACTCACTTTAAGCATTAAATTTATTCGAAGGCCGCCCTCAATAAAATCTAAAATGTATAAAAGTGTTAAAACTAAAGCTGCCTCGTCAAAGATCCCTAGCAACACTAGCGTGAATATTTTTTTCTACATAACAAAAACTTTATAACAACAAGCACTTTTACTGCGCGCATATTAAAACGAAACACTTGTGTTTTTTTTTTGGACGAAGCTATTAATTATTTAATGGGCCACAAAACGAAACGTAGAGGATCTTTGAAGATAGACGAAGGTTAAGTGTCGTGGTGAGGCTGACAAAGTGCGGGACCGCGCGGAAGACGAGCGGAGGTTATCACGTAACCCAGGGGAAGTCCCGCCATTGTCACACCAGTGAAAAATATTTTACTTTAGACTTAGTCAGAATTTTTGTAGTGAAAACTTCTTTAGAATTGTTGTAATTTGAAACTTTTAGACATTTAGAGAGACAAACATATTATACATCTATAGAATACAGTAGGTATCCAGTGTTTCCTATTATATCGGCCTCCTTTTCATTTCTACCTGAACAGTGTGTGACCTGCACAGATATTTTTTATTACGACTTTCAAAGAAACAACTTGCCTGCTATTATTGCATTTTACATATTTGATCGAATGAGATTTTTACTGCTTATTCATATCCTAAACCTTATAATTTACTATATTCAAAATATCACATTAATGAACACCTTAATCTTAACGCAGATATAGACAGAAGTACATAGCAGACTTAAACCTTACACCCTGACACGCGTTTAACTGGTTTAACTTCCTACGTACAGCCTGGACTTGTACGACTTGTATTGGAACCGCGTTATCGATGACGGTATAGATAATGAAAATTGTTCCAAAAATACCCGCAACGCGGCGAGGAGTGCACTGTATTACCTAGTACTATTGTATATTCTGTGACTGTATGAACCATTTGTGACGTTACATATTAGATTTTGCGATAAATATTTAACTGAAATTAAGTTATGACTGCAATACATTTTTTACAAAATTGATGTGAGAAGCGAACTAACAGCTAATAGTCCACTTGATGGTGAGTTGCTACTGTAGAACTGTAACCCATGGCCGCCTGCAACCAACTTTAAATAAAGAAGGATACAGATGCGTTGTTGCGTTGCGTCATCTCCGAGGACTAAGATCATTTACAGTCTGTAATCATGCCGGCTGTACCCCTGAACCTTTTAGAACGAAACACTGCAGTGCACAAAAGCAGTAGACTTGGCGGCAGGATTAGGTAAAATAAAAGAGTGGTATCAGATGTACTCTTAGATTATTGTTAACATAATATTAATACAAAGCTGTCACTGTCAATGCTATAAATATAACCAAACGGTCCCTTATCTCTAACTGAGCAGAGACAAAAGCTTCCTACAGTTTAAATAGTTGCAAACTCGAACACTGACGAGGGTTGCTTGTGCCGTTTTCGGTGCGGAAGTCTAAAAAATACGATAAAACAGGCATGTCAAGTCTTCTATATACGAGTGCGCGAACAAAGCGCACTGACGCAACGCTGTGAGTCAGCAACTACGCGACCAGCTGGACAAGATTGGCGTTTAACTCTTAAGTAGGAGAAATCAAATCCGTCTACATTGTTGTACACTAGCATCGTCTGTATTTGCGTACAAAGTACACAGTAGCACATAACGCGCTGCAGCCGTGGTACGGCGTCGTCGTCGACTATCATGGGCGGGGCAGACCGTTGCCAAGTTAGTTTGACTGACTGATCAGGCCTAAACGTAATGACATGCGCAAGTATCGGCTGTTATAGTACAATTTAAACACAACATTACAAAGTAATACTCTGCAGTATTAATAGATCAAATGCTTCATAATAATTATCATTTAAAGAAAAGTATTAAAACACTTAAAATATTTAAAGTTTCTGTTGTAATCTGTACACATTGCATTAAAAAGTTTATTGTATTAAAACCTTGGCATAGAGTTGACCTTGCTGTAGAATCCACTTCCTCATTATCACCTTTTGGGTGTCGGAAGAGGCGACAAAGGGAAACTGATACAGATGCACAGCAGCATCTTCCTGATAAGAACTGAATCATAATAAAAAAATTGCGGTGTCCAAACACGGCAACTATTCTCCCTATGAGGCAACGTATGGGGGAGACCTATGTTGCTATAATGGCTCTAACGATGAATGACACAATGATTTAATTGCGCCATGTCATGAACATTCCTGATGTTCTGGACATGTCCCACGTAACTCAGCAGTTCATATACCTACCTAATAAACCATGGGTCCTGAGTTCGAATATTAGACGAAGCCGGTACCGAATACATAATATTGTTGTTAACTTTGGTAGACAAACTAACACACAATTCACCTGATGATAAGTGGAGGCTGCCGTTTATAGATATCTACATCTATCCTGTATTAAGAATCATAATGAAGATGCATTATCACCCGTCAGAACCAAGATAGAATCCCTTTTAAAAGGGTATCTGGTTCTTATCACTAACCAAACGAAATACAGCAGCACTATGCTGTTATTTTACGCTGATATCTCGTGAGGACAGGATTCTTTCCCAGAGGAGTAGTCGAGTGGGCCCCCATATGTGGATGAGATCCCATTGACCGTGTCTTTCCTAGATTTCCTGCATAAGTTCTACAATATATATATTAGGTAAAATATGTTTACAGCCGGAATTATATACATATGTTTAATTCCATTATTATCAGTTGTGTACGAACTTACATTCCACCTGATGGTAAGTGGCAACTGCAGACAAAGATGGCTACAGATGCGTTGGCACCTCTCAGAAGCGTTTGTGTAATGTTAGTGCTGTTCACCAGCAACATTTGTGTGCGTACTACTCAACCAAGCAAAGCGTAAGAAGTGATAGAATGTGTTGAATAAAACTATTTTTACGGATTTTATTGCGTTTAATTTTTCTTTACCTTTTAATTCCCGAGGTTTTAGATGCTTTGCGGCACTCATGGTCACGAAGGGACTGACTTGATTGACGTCCCAATGTCACGTTAACCCGGAGTACATTCTCATAAGCGTTTTAATTAATAATTTTGGTCGGATCTACGCAGAAGCGATAAAATCCGTAAAAATAGTTTTATTCAATCTCTAGTGATGGAACGTGATTATGGTGTGACCTCTCCGTCTGCATTCTTCCTCAGGTCCTGCGTTCTTTTATGCCATTTTTAGCCAATAGTGTAATTATCTTGGTCGAATAGTACGTAAGTGGTGGTTTGTGGTGAGTGGTGGTGGGTCATGGTAAAGTGGTGCGTACTCACTGGCACTGAGGCTGGCGGCGGCGGAGAGCTGCGGGCGGCGCCCCTCCAGCGCCCACACCTCCTGCAACACGCCGCGCTTTGCGTTACTGCGCTGCTCGCTCTCTCGCTTCGTGGTTACACGTTCAGTTTAGCAGTTTACGGTATAAATGGTACATGTCCTCCAATTACCAGAAGCCAGAAGGTAATTAAGGAAGAAATGTCCGTATCGTCACGTGACATCGACGCGGATCGGACTTCAAACGTCCTAAATATTAAGTATTTCTTAGGTGTGGAGACTTCCTCTCTCTTATGGACAAAGAATATGGTACGTGGATTTAAAAAAAAAATGGCGAAACCCCGAAGACATATTTTGTAGAATCCAAAATCGACAGCGAACTAAGTACATAGGAAGTTAATGTAGCTCTTTCTAAATGTCGTATCAGAGACCTATGCTCAGCAGTGAACTTTTCAACTGATGGTGAGTGGTTACTGCAGTCCACGGACACCTGCAGCAAACTTCAAATAAAAAAGGCCACATAATATATCTACCTCATCCCCCCAAGACGTAATTATGACGGCTCCGTGGCGTAGTGGCTTAGCAATGAGTTGCTGCACTGGGGGCCGCGGGTTTGAATCCCGCACGGAACAAGTATTTGTATGGCCTACAAGTAATTGTTACGGGTCTGGATGTTTGTCCTTGTGCAATTTATGTTTGTAAACTGCCTCCACGACACAGGAGAAAATCCTAGAGTGGGGGTAACGTTTTAAAAAAAGAATAAAAAAAATTATACTGGATATTTTATACTCTTCAAACCTGAACACGGGAATGACTGCAGAGATGCTACCCCGCAGAAACCACTAAAGTGTGATTAACCGTAACAGAAGACTAAAAAGACAAAAAATAAATCCTGCCACTGTTTAAATAAGTATCAAAATCTCACCTGGTGCGTGTAGTTGGCGGGCAGCGGCGCGGTCGCGTAGGCGGGCGGGCGGGCGGCGAAGGCTCCTCCGAAGCGCGCGCTGAAGGCGGGCAGTGCGCCTCCCGCACACCCTCCACCCCCGCCACCACCCGCGCCATTCGCACCCTCGCCCTCCGCCGCCTCGTACTCCTCCAGCACACTGCCGCTATAGCTCGGCGAACCGCCTGGACAAACACAACTTACTAACTCTTTTTTGTTAGAGGTAAGGATGACAAACGAGCCCAGAGAACATCAGGGTCAGTAGATACCGAGCCAATAAATTGTCCGTATTCCTACATCTCTCGTCGTTGAAGAATCTAAATGTAAATGTGTTGTTAGTTCTCATCCCTGAGGACAAAGTTGGAATGCCTGGTTACCAGTAAAAAGGGTCTCCGGTTCAATACACTCGCCGCTCGAAACACAAGATGACGAGGGTGGTGGGACTCCTTTTTTCTCTAGCAGTGCGTCGGGGTACCAGCCTCTTGCCTATTTCAACCGTCACATAGCAGTGCCTGCACTTCTGTACTTCTGTGCTGTACAAAGGAAATTTTCTATAGTTTACATTCTTGGCAGGCGGACTGGCAATCGCAATTTTTTAATTTTCTAGTTGTCGTGACGCTGCTGTCCACAACCCATCTCCTGTGGTTTCTCTCTGCCACCTCTTACGATACGGGATACGATATGGGGTAGTGGATTTTCTTACACCGCCACTACACGGTCATTGATCGATTAATTATCTTAACAGTTTTCCCGTCCGCGAAACTGACACAATAAACAATTTCTAAATGTTCGTATATGATTTATGTGGCAGGGAAAGGGTTAACCCGACTGCGTTAAAAAAATTACTATATAGTCTATGTCACTTCCACAATTGAGACGAATCTAACAACATCTCATATCTTAAAATCCAACCAGCCGTTTAGACTACAGAGCGTGCCAAAAAAATAGACATACGTAAGTACTCTCGAAAAACATTACTTCTGGGGCAGTCGGGTAAAAAGTAAAGCAGCAATCTTACCGGCACTGGAGGTCCACATCTGTGGCTGGGAGAGGTCGGCGCCATTGCCGAAGTACGGCGAGCCGGAGGAGTACGCGCAGCGTGAGTACACCGCGCCGGACCTGCGTTAGTTACCCAACAACAAATTAATGGTATCAGGCGTTGCTTTGCGGGAATTCATTATGCTAAGGTTGTTAGAAGTTATAGTATATTAACAAATGATGTGAAGATCACCTCTCGGAATCCGTACTTTTCAAACTAGGTAACACACGTCATTTTATTTTATTACGGAGTTTTAATGTAAGTAATTTTTAACATCTTTAACTGTACATAAGTAAGTATACATAAAGTGTTAGATATAATTTCATAACGGCATGTCATTAGAATTAGAGTAGTAATGAATAAAACGATGTTAAGGTAACACGCGTCTTATTTTCTCTTCTTCCTTTCTTTGCACCCCGCATTGCGACCCTGCCAGGATTCGAACCTGGAATCTTGTGATCTGATAACAATGGTTGATTATTGCTTGCTTAACTTAAGCATTAATTATCTCTACATCTGTCTTTTTCCATTGCCATTTAATGAAAAGATAGGAAGCAACTTCACGCATTACTATAAATTAATATTAAATACCAGCGACCCGCCCTGGGCAGGATCTACTCGTCTTAATGAGGCATTAGGTATTTAGATTTAAGATTATTCATAAAAATCTCTGTAGCATTAATCTTTATATGTTCGTTAAGTTTCATTACAATTGAACACAGAAACTAATATTTAAGAAAATATTTTTAAATGCCATCAATAACATAACTTGTAGAAAAAACCAAGTCTCGCAACTCGGTTCTTCTACCGTAAAAAGTTGTGAGATCCATGTAATGCCAAGTGGGTTAATTTATTCAGTCCCTACTTAAGGGTCCTTCTGTCTCAAATTATTACGTGATTAGCTAACGTAACAACATCTTATAGTGACCATATCAATATTAAATATATTTTATGTTTTAAATACATAGACTGACTTGGCAATCGCACTAAACAATGTAATTTAATATAATATGTATTACTTGTGAGATACATTGTGTTTTAATATGATATTTAATAATATATATTATAATAAATATGATGTTTAATATAATAATTTGATGGCATCTCATTTCTTTTTGTAGATAGTCCTACTTTCTTTTCTATCCGGTACCATCTACTTCTGGAATACCAACTACAGATTTTCGGGCGATTTAGTCTACTCAATACTTTGCGGAATTTTGGTACAACTTCATAAGACATGTCCCATTCTTGCTTTATCATTCCGTTGACCATTTTACAAGTTACTTTTGAACATAATTATATTATCTAGGTACCTATCTACATCTATTATACCATTATATTATACACTAGCTGTGCCCCGCGGCTTCACCCGCGTCATCACGTGTCCGAGGTGCGCGACATAACCTAGGTCAAGCATTTTATAACGGCTAGGGTTTAAGCGTCGTTCGCGCGCCCAGCCAAGTATTGAATTATTTTAATTTTACATTATCTCTTAAACTATGCGTCCAAATAACATGGTATACAGAACAAAGTTTATCTTCATAAAATTGTCTTGATGATGAAGTAACTTTCGTTCGTAAGGATAAATAGGTCATGCCTAATAATAACGCTCATAAATCACTTTTAAATTTTCAATATTTTTTTGTCGCAAAATACCAAATTATGGCTTATGTATAAGAAATAGTCATATGGTATCGCAGACTTTTTTTTAGAGGGAGTAAAGGTCTATATTTTTCTAGAACATTATATTTACGTATTCCTAGCGATAACACCAGCGTACGCGGATAAATCATTTCGGGAGTGCTTTTTCTTCTGACTTGCTTAACAAATATCCCAATTTAAGGCTAGCTGAGTAATATAGCTTGATGCTAGATGGCTTATACTATTCCACATGAATCTGGCTATAATATGCAAAAAGAATTTTTCAAATCGGACTGGTAGTTCCAGAGATTAGTGCGTTTAAACAAACAAAAAAACAAATAAACTCTTCCGCTTTATTGTATTAGTATAGATATGCACTGATTCATTCACTGCAAATGTAACTTTGTAATCTTATATATTTATATAGGATTACAAAGTTATTTATGCAGTTGGTGTATCTAGAAAACTGGACCGAAATTATACAATATTTTAGTTTTTCCTTGATTTATACACCAAACACTAATTATATTCTAAATTTGAAGCTTCTACGTCTGCTATATGTACCTTATATGTACCTTAGAGTCTTGATGATCTGTCAGTCAGTGAGTGACAAAATTAAGAAACTTTGACTAGTTATAATTCTTAAACTATTTGTTCAAATTGAACGAAATTTGAAATATACCATTTTTATACAATGCATGCTTGATTGCAGGCTTATAGTTTCATCCACAACGAAGTTATAGGGGGTCGAAAAGGTACGGCCGTGCCGCTTTTTTGCTCGACTTGGCGGTGGCACTGCCGTGCCACCAGGTTAAACCAATTATATTATACAAAATAAATATTTAAAAAATTGTCCTAATGACATGCAAGTAACCGCCTAAGATCAATAAAGGCAGGTTATTGCGATATTACAGTCATACAGTTCAATTTTATTTATATGTATAGATAGATATACTAGATAAATATCTGTATACAGTAGGTAGGTATACACCACTCGAGTACTCTAAGCGTTAATAATTCGCCAATTTCAATTTTCAAACACGTAGATATTGTAGCAACGGAATGGAGACGAAGACAGGAATGAAACGTTACATCGAAGGATAGGTGCAGTCTAGATGGGGAAAGGGAAGAGAGAAGAGGGAGAGGAGGGAGACGAAGGAGGGGAAGGAGAATAAAGGATGGACCCACTACTACATACTACTCCATTTCATCTCGTGGGTATCGTAGGAGGAGACAGAGGCGCTTACCAAGCGTGGCAGATATGGAAGGGAGACTTCACTATGACCAATGGGCAATTTATTAGAAAGGCCCATGTTCAGTGGACATTTGATGTGCTGTAATGAACGAATGAAATTACATTTAATAAATAAGTATCACGGTGGCATTAGGGAGTCGATTTGAGTCGGTACAAGGTCTTGTTTATTTCCAGATGTAAACGCTCCATACCGGCGACGGGAAGCAGAGTCAAATATCTGTTACTAAGGTCGCCAATTACCCTGTCAAGCTTCGTGTTACAAACATCTCTTCACTTTGTTATATCAAAGAGTAATTGTTAAACACGAACACAATAATATAACGATGTTATGAACTATAGTTAACACATTGTTTTGAAGGCTTATGTCAATGATAATTTTATAAAATATAAGCCAAGTTTCGTTAGTCCACAGCTGAACATACTCGTAGGCCTCCCCCAAGGATGCAAGCACGGTCCTGGGTTATTCAGTCGGTCACAAGCTCATTTACTATCGATTAATCAAGCAAACAATTACACCTTCCTTATAGAATGGCTTAAACTTTTAACAACAATAGTTCGGGGAATAATGAAATCCGAGGCGCGGCGCCCAAGTGCGTGACCGAGTCGCACCCGACGTGCAAGGAACTTCTTAACTTACTTAGTGCAATTAAGCATAATATTTCTACATAAGGTTATTAGTACGAATAAGTCTAGAGATGTAACTGAATCACCATTACGTTCACATCAAGAGTCCATTGCTGAACATAGGCCTCCCCAAAGATTGTCTCATATACACAGTTGACATGCTTAAGAGGCCCACCAGGCCCAGGTTTTATATTTTAAAACTACCTACTATTTGGAAGACGCTGTTGCCCATCTCCCGGTTTGATTCTCTCTGTTGCCTCTTACGATACCGGGACGATATGAGGTAGTGAGTATTATTACACCGCCATTACACTTCTTTTTATTTGTTTAGTAACACATTATTGCTACGTTTTATACTAACACGGCATATTTAACATTTAACTAAAAAGTACCCAACTTAGCATAAAATCAAGAAGGTTGCCATTGAAATAGTAGAATTAAAAATCTTTATATATAAAAATTACGTGTTACATTGTTTGTCCGCGATATAGGTACTCCTAAACTACTGAACTTTGATTTCAATGAATTTTTTCAAACTGTGTGCAGTTTGGTTCAACTTGAGAGATAGGACAGTTTTCATTCCGATAAGTGACTCTCAATATTTTTTTATTGCGAATTTAAGAATTTTTATAGGAAGGGTCTTCGGAAAGGGCAGAACGTCTGCCTGCCCAGCTAGTAGTACCTATTATAAAATAATGTAGGTACATATTACGAGTATATGCACTAGAATGTAAATGTACAAATTCGAACATAAGTATTTGACTTTTGTATTTTTTTTTATTTTGAATCGAAAATCAAAATTGATATATCTCATTGAAATTTAAGTATTTAATATAATATATAATAATTGAGCATTACATCTACATGCCATCAAAGTTACACTTGAGCGACTATTCCAGGTCGATACGATGCCATATTGAAATCGAATAATTACCACAACCGGGAACAATTTTCATTTATAACGTTGTATTGGTGACTAGGAGTCATGTACGAGCGCTAGAGCGAAGCTGCTTAAGGTTAACGGGCTAGGCGACTTTATTAGGTCAAGTCGGCACTGGCGCGCATATTGCAGCTAAACAATAACAGGGCACAGGCAGATTAGTTCCGGGAGCTTTGTGTCTCGGCTCTGCACGAGTCGCTGCTCGCTGCTCGCCGTGACACGCGTGAGGTATTTCTATTTTCTACACTAACGCGGTGAGTTTAACATTATGACGAAACAAACTCTTAATATTTTTTTTATGTTTACGCGGACACTACAGATTTAAATAGAACCAGATCGACTTCAATTTCTTTTTGAATGATGACTGCAGTTGTGGACATTTGTTATCAACTCAAACAAGATATTAATATTTAAATGCAACAAATTTTTACAGATTTCATCGCGTATTAACTTATTTTATGTCACGAGAGGATAAACTTCACACAAAAATATTTTATTCCTCAGCCATACAGATTTCCTCACGGTGTTTTTCTTCACCGCCGAGCACGTAATATAGCACGCACATTGTTGTCAACAGAAATCAATTGTAATTGTCGATTAGTACCGGCGGGGTTCGAACC